CTTTTGGAAGAAAAAAAGTACACACATTTGCAAAATAATAAATATTCAATAAATAATCTGACTTTTAAATTATATTTAAATATTATAAAATAAATAAAATGGAAAAGAGTTGAGCAAAACAGAATAAAACAGAATAAACGAAAATATAATTTTATTATTTAGTAATTTTATGATTGAATAAAATAAATTGTTCATTTCATTCAAATAAGAAAGATAAAAAAAATTAATAAGTGATAAAATAAAATAAAATATATCATTCCGTTCTATTATATTCTATTTAATTTTAAATGATTTAAATAAAAAATATTATTTTAATTTATTTCATTCTGCCCGCTCTATTTGATTACATCAATTCAAATAAAACCTTAAATTTTATCTTTTATCTTTAATCATATTAAATATTTAAAAATATAATAAAAAGGTAACATAATTTGTCTCAAAACAACTTAGTATATATTTGATTCTACTTTTTTATTCCACCCACCGTAGAAATATAAAGTCACAAAGAGTAGCTTTTGGAATAAAAAACGTTTCTAGAGCCATTGTACCTTGGAAGCAAAGACTCTATTATACTTTGAGATGATTGTAGTATGTCTGATACAAATGTAAGAGCAGCTCTTCTATGATCACAATAACAGTGAAAATAGATCGGACTAATTAATAGAGGTCCACATCGGTTGAAATAGTTTAGATTTTTTTTATAAATTCTTTTAGTTAAATAGGTTATGTCATATGTAATAATTTTTTTCTTAAATCTATTAAATTGGTCTATTTTAATAAATATAAAAAAATTTATTATTTTTTATATTGTATTTTATATATTATATTAAAATATAAAATATAAAATTTAGTTACCCACTTCTAAAAATAAGTTGAAAAAAATATTATGAATAATGTTATAAGTTATTTTCATAATTTTTCTTAAATATATAATTTCATAAAACTTATGCTATTACGTAAACACAAATAAGTCAATATAAATAAATATGTAGTTTTATTATACTTTTGATCATATAATATATTTAAATATTAATTGAATTGTTTATTTACATATGTACACATGATATAAGTTTTGTAAGTAGGCTAATAGACTAATTAGACATTTGAAAAAGTCAAACTTACAAAAATAAGTTTATAATAGACAACATATCAAATTTAAACTTTGAATTTTTTAAGAGGTCAGACTCAGATTTGACAAAATCTAACTCGATGCAGTCTATTTCCACTCATACTCACTAAAAATTAAAATTTAATTTTTTATTATTTTTAAAACACTATTGAATAAAAAAATGAAGTTTATGAGATGGAACAAAAATTGAAGAGTGAAATATTTTACAGAGTTCAACCAAAAAATATTTGAGATGGAACATCAATTGAATATCAATATATTTAATCGATTTCATAATAATAATAATAATAGTTACATTTGAAATTATTCTTACATGGTTAACATCGTGTGTGTGTATATATATATATATATATATATATATATATATATATATATATATATATATATATATATATATATATATATATATATATATATATATATATATATATATATATATATATATATATATATATATATATATATATATATATATATATATATATATATATATATATATATATATATATATATATATATTGAAAAATTCTGTATTTCATATTTCGTGTCCTTACAAGGATATAATTATTGGGATATATACAATTCAGCATTAACTTATTTAGGTATGTAAATCTCCTATAATATCATTGTAATAATTCTATAATAAAATTGAAATCTCCTATAATTAATCTATATCAAAAATATCTCTATAATTTCTTTTAACACCCTCCCTCAAACTCTAGTTGGTATGGTGGATGTCAACTGGAGTTTGCTTAATAAATATTTGAAGCGCATCGGATTATGTGGTTTGGTGAAGGTATCAGTCGGTTGGTCCTCAGAAGGAATAGAAATCAACTGTATGGTGCCATTAGTAACATGATGGCGTACAAGGTGACAATCAATTTCAATGTGTTTCGTGCGCTCATGAAAAACATCATTATGGGAAATCTGGATAGCACTTCTATTATCACAATGAAGCATAGTAGCAGAAGATTGTGTAATGCCCATATCATTTAACAACCATCGTAACCAAAGTAACTCAGCCGTAGCATCAGCAAGAGCGCGATATTCATATTCTGTGCTTGATCGGGAAACAACTATTTTCTTTTTGCTACACCAGGAAAGAAGAGAATTTCCTAAGAAGAAACAATATCCTGTTGTTGAGCGACGATCAGTAGGGTCACCTGCCCAATCTGCATCAGAGTATCCAGATAGGACCAATGATGAATTAGAAGAGAAGCGCAAACCATGAAAAATTGTACCTTTAACATAGCGAATGATACGTAGAACTGCATACAAATGAGATGATCGAGGGGCAACCATAAATTGACTGACTTTATGAACAACATATGCAATATCAGGACGAGTGACAGTTAGGTAAACAAGACTACCAACAAGTTATCAATACAAGGTGGCATCTTCAAGAGGTGTGCCATCAAGTGGTGTGAGTTTGGAGTTGACTTCCAATGGTGTCAATTCAGTCTTGCAGTCTGTGATGCCTGCTCGAGAAAGCAGGTCAGAAGCATACTTGGCCTGGGAAAGATGATAGCCTTCTAAGTCTTGGGAAACTTCAAGCCCCAAAAAATAACTAAGGGAACCAAGGTCTTTCATTTCGAAATGTTGACTGAGATATTGTTGTAAAGCTGAGATACCAGTCTTGTCATCTCCGATTATGATCATATCATCTACATAAAGAAGAAGAATTACAATACCACTATAACTTCGTCGAGTGAATAGAGCAGAATCATGTGGACTAGAGAGAAAACCAAATTGTGTTAGAGTAGAACTGGACTTGGAAAACCAGGCTCTAGGAGCTTGTTTCAACCCATATAAGGCTTTCTGAAGTTTACAAACCTTATGAGGAGAATGATATCCTGGAGGAGGGTGCATATATACTTCCTCTGTCAATTCACCGTGAAGGAAGACATTTTTGACATCCATCTGAAAAAGCTTCCATTTACGAACTACAGCAATGGCCAAGAGGCTACGAACAAATATTATTCGAGCTACCAGAGCAAATGTCTCTTCATAGTCTATACCATACTCTTGAGTGTACCCTTTGGCTACTAGGAGAGCTTTATAACGTTCTACAGTTCCATCAGAGCGAGTTTTAATTTTGTAGATCCATTTGCATCCAATAGGAATCTTTTCTGCAGGAAGATCAACTAATTCCCAAGTATTTGTCTTTTCTAAAGCTTGAATTTCTTCAGACATAGCTTGCTGCCAAATGGGGTTAGTACTTGCCTCTCGATAAGAACAAGGCTCATGAAGAGTTTTAATAGCAGAGTAGCAATGGAATCATTAAGATGAGTAGGTGGATTACTTACTCGGGTGGAATGGCGAGATGCAGGTACAATATCAACATCCGGAACAGGTTCAGTAGGAGTAGGTGAGGGCGGACGAGTATTGAGCTCAACATCTGGAACAAGTTCATTAGGAGCATGTGAGGGAAGAGGAGTATTGAGGTTATTAGAGTTATCTGCATTAGAACTTGGAAACAACTCAACTGAGGGATCGGTGAAATAAAATGAGTCGGTGTTAAGAGAATGATGAAATGTAGAAAGAGAGGAGAACATGGTGTTTTCCCAAAAGGTAACATGACGTGAGATGCGTAATCTGTTAGAGATTGGATCCCAACAACGATATCTTTTGTGTTCTGTGCCATAGCCAAGAAAGCAACACAAGCGAGCACGTGGTTGTAATTTTGTGTGCTCATGAGGCTGTAAGAGAACAAAACAAGCACATCCAAAAGGTTTAAGAATGGAATATTCAGGAGACTTACCAAATAGTTTTTCAAAAGGAGATAAGTTTTGAAGATTTATGGTGGGAAGTCGATTAATTGTATAGACAACATTAAGAGTTGCTTCCCCCCAAAACTTCTCTGAACACAAGGCTGAGAGGAGAAGAGTACGAACTGAGTCAAGGATGTGACGGTGTTTTCGTTCAGCCCGACCATTTTGTTGGGAGGTGTGAGGGCATGAACGTTGAACCACGGTACCTTGCTGACTGAGAAACTAAAGAAAGGAAGATTCACGGTATTCCATCGCATTGCCTGTGCGAAGAATCTTAATAGCACAAGAAAATTGTGTTTTAACCATACGAGCAAAGGAAATATAAATTTGAGGTAATTCAGAGTGATTTTTCAAAAAATATATCCATGTAAAACGAGAAAAATCGTCAATAAACAATACAAAATAACGATGACCATTTATTGAAGAAACAGGAGAAGGCCCCCAAATATCCGAATGAATCAAATCAAAAGGACTATCTAAACTAGAAAAACTACGATTGAATGATAATGCAGGCTATTTGGAAAGTTTACAATGTAAACAATCAAAAGGCTCAACCTTTGTGGATCCTAATAACCCACGAGATATTAGAGGTTGAATTTTTCTTGCTGAGGCGTGACCAAGATGAAGATGCCATTGATGAATTGGATTCATAGTAGTAGCAGAAATATGATCTTTAGGAAGGTGAAGAGATTGTAGCTCAAATAGCTGAGCCACCCTACGACCCGTCACAATGATCTGCTTCGTCTGTGGATCCTGTACCTGAACACCAGAGGGAGAAAAATAAACATTCAGTCCTTGTTCACACAATTGACCAATGGAAATAAGATTAAGTTTCAAGTTAGGAATGTAATATGTGTCAGGAAGGGTGAGATTTAAGGTGGATACATGACCGGTATGAGTGATGTTCATTGTATTGCCACTGGCTGTGTGGATTGGTGGCAGAGATGAAACAAGTGTCGCAGTAGGTAATGATTTAATATCAGTGGTCATATGATTACTACATGCAGAATCAAAAAACCAACGAGAATTACCATGAGTAGCAGACATGGCAGTAGAGTTGTTGGAAGACATAACCTGTTTGATTAAAGCTTCAATATCACTCATATTGATGGTCGTCGAACTTTCAGTGGCAGCAGCAGATATGGAGGAAGATCCAGACGTTGGAACATTCTTGGATTTGGTGAAGCCACGATTTTGTTTTGGAGGTCGCGTGGGACAATGTTCAAGAATGTGACAGATACCATGGCAGTACCTACACTATATAGTAGGACAGTTAGCAAATATATGACCAGTGCGATTGCAATTCTTACATGGACGATGATTCGATTTTTGATGTGAGAATCGAGTAGTTGCAAGAGCAGCATCCATTTGAGGAGTTTTGTCTAGATTCAGACGCGTTTCTTCAAAAATGATTTCATGAATAGCAGTGTCCAATGATAGAAACAGATTTCGATGCAGTAGTGAGGCTCGTACGACTTCATATTCGGGCCGAAGAGCCATAAGGACTTGAATGAGATGAAGGTGGTCTTCAGTGATTTTGGCAAGCGATATTTAATGCCAAATTGGTTGGACTTGAGCGATAAAATCATTCACTGATTGACCAGGTTCTTGCTTGGTATTGTGAAGTGTGGTCCATAACTGATAATAATGTGCAAGGCCAGTGGTTTGATAGCGGTTTTTCAAGAAATCTCAAATTTCTTTTGCAGAATCATAGTTATGAAACTGAATGTGAATAGACGGTACAAACGTGTTGCACAGCCACGTGATGATCTGGTGATTTTTACTATCCCAATCTTCAAGGCGGTCCGCAAATTTTGCAGCAGATTCATCTTTGTCTTGAGTTGGCTTGACGACATCTCCGGTGATTATGCACCAAAGCCTGCGTCCGATCAGAAAACTCTTCATTCCTTGGACCCAGAGATTGTAGTTTGGTCCGGTCAAGGTGGTTGTAATAGGTTTAAAAATATCAGTTTTCTCCATAATGCAGAGATGAACAGGATAATGGAGAACTGAAGATGTTGCAGAAAACAGAGGGAAAAAATGGGGATCTATGACCTATGCCCTGATACCATATTAGCAGAATAGCAGACAGTGGAATTGGAAAATTCTGTATCCCATATTTCGTGTCTTTACAAGGATACAATTATTGGGATATATACAATTCAACATTAGCTTATTTAGGTATGTAAATCTCCTATAATAACACTATAATAATTCTATAATAAAACTGAAATCTCCTATAATTAATCTATATAAAAAATATCCCTATGATTTCTCTTAACATATATATATATATATATATATATATATATATATATATATATATATTCCAATTTTCATAAGTTAATTATTATTTTTTTATTTTAATGTCATATTCCTTTTGATTATTATTTTATTTATATAATATTAACTTTCAATTTTTTAAACATATTTTTAGAGAGAAACTATTATTTATATTACACTATGTCGATTTCTAACTTAACTCATATTGGAATAACATTTCTAATGTAAACATGTATGATATGATAAATTTAAGGATTAATTAGTCTCATTCTATTATCTCACCGAAGATTAGATTGAACCGCGATATGATATCATTATCACAATTTTCTCTCTTAGCAGCTGATACCACACTTCAGGAGACTTCTTTAAAAACACAATAACCAGACCTCTTATAAAGTGCCATTCTTCTGCTCATAAAGCGAATATTCCCTCTAAAATACAGAGCTTAATAATCATGGTATTTTACTGATCATCATACCATGAACAGACTGTCTAGAAGAGGTTGTTTCTCCCATTCTTCTGAACAGCTCATCATGACTGTAAGTTAATATTCCAAAATATTAACTTACCTCAGGTTGATGCATCTCCGTTGCAAATAACCCTTAGAATGCCTCATCCACTTTACAAGAACAAGAGTTCAATATTCTCATAGACTTGATATGAGATATCAAATTTGACTAAACAACCTTCATCATGTTTGAGAGAAACACCAGTCAAACACATTGAGAAAAATAAATTCTCAAAACAAGAATGTCAATACATTATATCTGACATCTCAAGAATCTCCATCTCCAGATTAGGGTTTCTTCTTTATCTTGACAATAATATGTTCTCCTCATGAATAGAAGTATAATATATGGTTAGTGCATACCAACACAACTCTTTCTCTGTTAAGCAGAAATTGTTCCACCTGAACAGTATCACAAACATCAGTCTTCTTTGATCATAAGAGACTAAATGACAGAGAGAATATCCTTGACATATGAACTTGACCTTCATATTCAAGAGACCTGGCTGAGATGACAAAACTCTACTAGAATTAGAGCTCGGTCTCTACATTTCTAATAACTTGGATCAATAATAAACTGAACCAAGAAGTAACCACTTGGTTTATCAACATTAAACTAGTCCACGAATCTAAGACGTGTTTTTCTGAATAATACATCTTAAATACACAACCGAGACGCCTCCTCTTCTAGATCAGGAGTAGATTCCAAACACATGTAACTAACACACATTTTTTAGCCCCAAGCATCTATAATTCAACAGGAGGCTGCACACCTGCTGACATGATGTCTCAACGTCTAGTAGGACATTCGTTCCCTTTCTTAGAACACAAAACTGACCTTGGTTCTGAAGCCATTACTGCTTCCAGAAAGACAAAACATGCCTTGATCACCTTCAAGGTCTTCAAAAATAATTCAAGCTCCAGTTATACCAAAAATAGCAAGACTCAAAGGCACTTTCCTAATTAGTTCAAGAATTAGGAAGACTCTTTTAGAAACCAAAATAAATAGCTTTATCTTGAAAGATACATCAACCACACACTAAAATACCTTTATGAGTGGACTTGAGAAATAAAACTCAAGTATCGCTGACCACTTTAGACAGATGGTTGAAACAGTCTTGCACATATCCTATCACCATAGGATACACCTGCCGAGGAGACCAAACCCTAATTCCATGTCAACCAGGGTTACAACAGATACCATGCAATGGAACACACAACATCTCCTCAACATCCTTCAGGCACAAATAGTAAACCTTGCAGAAACACACCATACTCTCGATGAAAAAGGTTAACCTAGGTTTGAAAATAAATCAAACCAAAAATCATCAGCTCTCCATCACAGCTACACGCCTGAACACAACATACATGTTCAATTCTGTCACGAATAATCCATCCTCCACTTCAAGGGACCATTCAAAAACAATATGAACTATCCAAGTTCAAACAACTTTTAAGTAGAAACCTTCTAACTTGCACATACACCAGAAAGTATCCCCATGTATCTCATCCAGAAACAGACAGGATATCTGCTCTGATACCAATTGAAATTCTGGTATGACAGAACTCAGATGTCCTATGACATGTTGGGACATTTGATCTGACATACACAAACAGGCAAGGTATCAATAATAAAAACAGTACTGAAAAGCATAAACAACACACCAGAATTGTTAACTCAGTTCAGAGCAACTCTCATACTCTGGGGGCATACCAAGCCAGGGACAAATCCACTCAAATAGTATCAATTCACAGACTTTGCAACAAACCTCAAATTTACGGCCTAATCACTTAATCACTACCCTTGATAGATTTTTATCTAAGACTCATCTAGATATGAGGCCCTCCTCAATCCATCTTCAATCACAGACATCAATTGGATCAAAATAAACAATTCTGAACAAACAAGAAGACATACTTCCATGACAATTCATAGCCAAGACTCTTGACTAAGAACACAACTTGGAGTTTCTTCAAAACTTCCTCCAAGAATAATAATTAACTCATTACCTACAGGCTTCTGAGTGAGAATACAGTGACCATCTCACAACCCGAGTGATTCATACATACCAACTCTCCTAGAGAGTGGCTAACAGACTCAACCCTAATAATTGCATCTTTAAAATTCTCGTCTGGTGCTAAACCTAGGTTACAAAGCTTCTATTTATAACCTATACCCAACTGGATTTTTTCCTTCAAATCACAGCTCTTTGGATGTTACAAACAACAAAAAAATTTGCTACAAAATAGGTCTTCAATCAAATTTTCCTAAATTATCTTCATATTTAGAAAGTCAATATTCTTCAATATTCTTCTTGATTCTTCTTGACCTACAAATCAGTGCCACATAGGATAATATAATATCCTTAAAGTATATTTTGTCTCTGTGGCTTAACAGAATATAACAGTCCAGTTCAGCTCAAGCGCGGTGTCGTATGACCCTGCATAGGACATCTCATCCGACATGTTGTTCCAGATGTTGAAATACTTCAACTCAACATGTCCCAACATATAATAGGACTTCTTATTCAACCTGTTCTTCATGACAAGATAGATTATCTTATTATTTGATGCTCTATTAGTTTTACCAAACATAATGCCAACCATAAAAAATAGAGAATTAACACTAAGTGTGATGGAATCAAGAAGGGGGCGACGCTACCATTTTTGGTTCTACCGTTAAGTTTATGTCACTCAGGTTGCAAGCTTTTGGTTTGAGTTTTGTAGCTGACAATATTGATTTGTAAGTTATTCTAATTTATCTTTTATTGATGAGAAATATTTGGGATTTGATAATAGGAAAACGTAGGCTCAATTTATGGACAACTCATGGCCAATGGTTTAGGGTTTAATGTTTTTTTTTTTGTTTCATCTAAAGTTAATTTTGATTCTAAAATCAAATGTTGGTACTATCTAAAAACTACGAGAATCATTTTTAAAAACAACCAATTTTTTTATTGTGACATCAAACAAATAGCTTCGGTCGAGAGACTATTATGCTGAGTTCTTCGCCCTTTGTGGTTTTCGTTTGTTGTTTTAGGTTTTCAAGTGTCGCTGTGAATAATGTAACAGTGAGAATTGAGCTGCGTTATTGATGTTTAATTGTAAGAGTTGTTTGAGTTTAAAACATTACGAATAATTGGAGTTGTTTCATGAATCTTTCAAAACATGTCAAATACTGATGAGTAATGCAGAGACCAAATGGTCTGCAACATGTAAGATATATTTGGATTTAGATATTTAGTTTAAAATGGTTGTTTTGAAAATAAATTTAACATGTCTCATTAGATAAATCTAACGATCTTAATAATGCCACGCCTCAACTTTATATCTTGAAAATTAAAACCATCAGCACACACAAACCACGCCCTCTTGCACTTTGCTTCTGTTTCTGATGCTGCTGATATCCCTCTTTTTTTCAAACTCTTTTTGTTTTTGTCTATTAGCATTTGCAAATATATGAGAGAAAGAGGAAGGCTAAGAGTATTATGGTCTGTGGAATATGTGAATATGCTTGTTGTACCATGAGTTGTTAGGTAAATTGATATATGAATTATGGGTAAATTGTTTTAGCATTATTTGTTTTGTTTTAGAGCTATTGATTTATGCATATACTGGTTTTGTGATTTAGAATTTATTGGTTGCTTGAAAAAACTGATTTATGCATTATTACTAAACTATTTTAGCATTATTGGTTATGTATTAGTGT